GGTACAGTGCTAACACTTAGGGAAACTGCATGCGGAGTTTACAGAAACTACACAGTCTTTGGACCCTAAAATTATTTCCGTGTAAAAAAGTTTTAAATATTAGAAAAAGAAAAAAAAAAAAAGAAAGCCTGATGGGAGTTCGGGGAACAGATGTTTTCCAACTTCCATACACAGTACCGCATGAGGTCTGCCCGCAGAGGCAGAGCCCCGTCTGTCTATCTGCCCACACCCAGCACAGGGTCAGGTGGTGACAGTGTGTCAGAAGAGCTGTGAACACCTCACTGGGTACAAATTAGCAACAGAAGGGCGCTTGTGTGTTCCACAAATAATAAGGACCATTACATTGCCATACAATATCACGGGGACCCACTTCTCATCCTTGTCCCGCTTGTGTTTTGTTTTCTAGAACATAGAAAAACCGGTGTTCGTGGATCGTGTGTGTTTTCCTAAGTCTTGTCTTTCAACTCCAAGCTCAACTTGATGGAAACAGGCCTGGAGCGTGTGTGCGACATCTGTGAAGCGTGGCCGTGCATCTGTGCTAGGACGCGTGTGTATGACGTGCAGGGAAGGTGTATCAGTTCCCCGGGGGCCGCCAGAACGAGGCGCCATAAGCTGGAGGCCAGAAGTCTGAAATCCGGGGGTCGGCAGGGCCATGGCCCCCTGGAAGACTCCAGGGGAGGATCCTTCCTGCCTCGCCCAGGCTCCTGGCGTGGCTCGTCGCTGTACTGCTGCAAGCCCCGCCTTCCGCATCGTGTGGCCCCTCCCCTGTGCAGCTGTTTCTCCCGTACTCTTCCTCCCGTCTGTCTCTCTGTGTCTTCTCGTTTTCTTACAAGGGCAGTCATTGGGTGTAGGGCCCACCCTCCCTGATCCACTAGGAATCTCTCTTAACTAAAGACTTCTGGGAAGACCCTATCTCCAAATTAACATCACACTGCCAGTTTCCGGTGCACGTGACTTTCAGGGAGCTGCTAGCCATCCCACCAGGAAAGGGGCACAGAACATAAGAGAAATAATAGTCGCTGCCATCTAAAGGCCGACTACTAGGCGCCTAAGACTTTATGCACACCCTTCGCAAACCTTAAAACAAAGCTCCTAGGGAGGCGTGATTTTTGCCATGTTACTTGCGAGCAAATTGGCTCACAAGTTATCCTTCAGCCCAGAGCCTGGAAGAGACAAGGCAAAGGATACGGCCAGGCTGGCCCATGGTGCCCAGCCCGTGAGGGTCTCGCATCCTAGCTGGGACTGCTCCACAGGTGATCCGTGTGTGTGCCCTCCAGGGGACCCACATCCTCAGGAGGGCTGGTGTGGCTCTGTTGCTGCCACCTTGAAATTCTTCATATGTTTTTATGTTTATTTTTGAGAGAGAGAGAGCGCAGGGGAGGGGCAGAGAGAGGGGGAGACACAGAATCCAAAGCAGGCTCCAGGCTCCGAGCTGTCAGCACACAGCCCGACACGGGGCTTGAACCCACGAACCATGAGATCATGACCCGAGCTGAAGTCAGATGCTTAACTGACTAAGCCACCCAGGCACCCCAAATTCTTCATATTTTCTGAACGAGGGGCCCAAAGATTCACTTTGCTCTGGGCCTGGCCAGTTAGACAGCAAACAGATACTGTCACAGCCCCGCCCCCTCCTCACCCCCCCCCCCCCACCTCACCGGAGCCCCGCGCCTGCTGCCCACAGACCTTCTCTCCGGACTCAAACTCATTCACCCCTGTTTCATACGTATGCATCTTCCTCCTGTGTATGCTCTCAATTTTTTATTATAGAAAATTAGGGAAATAAGGTTAAAGGAAGGAGTCAGACATAGTCTCATGATCTAAAGGAACAGCTTTGCACACATCTGCTTATTTTCTGTGCATAAGACTTTTGTTAATTACATATTAATTAATTAATAAAACTTGCTAATTATATTAACTACACTCTATTGACAGTTTTGAAACTGCTTCTCAATAACATACCTAGCATTTTCCCCATGGCATTAGTACTTTCTCAAGAATATGCAGTATTCCAAAAGAAAACAATTCGTTTTTTCTAAAAACAAAATTTGTTTAAATAAAACTTTGGAAAAATACAGAAAATCACAGAGAACTAAGCTATTAAATGCTTGTATCCCACCCTCCAAGATGGCTACTGTTCACAGCTCAGAGAACATCCGTCAATCCCACGGCGCCCGGGCGCCACTGAGCCGCCGGGAACCGGGGTTGCCAGGGAGAAGCCTGGGACTGGTGCTTCGGCAATCAGCCGGTGGAGCCCAGAGCAGGGAAGTGGGGCCATGCCTTTCTAGAAGCGCTTCCTCCCACCTGCCCAGCCTCTTGCTATAGATGGCGGCTGGATGTTGCATTGCTTCTAAATTCTAGGATGGAGATTTTTATAAATTTTCTGTCCGTCCAGGAGTTTTCCTTAATGCCTGGCATTGAGTTCTCCAACTCTGGTTTTATTTTTTTTTTTTAATTTACAGAAGTGTATGAGAATCGGTTATTTATTTATTGCCTCCTATGTGACAGGTATGAAGGTGAGGAACAGATCAGTGCTGCCTGTCTGCCTGCCGGGGATCCCACTAGAGACACAGGCGGTTAGTGAGAGAGAGCCTCTCGCGTGTCCAGGGCAGGTGCACCGGCCGTACCCCCCACCTGGGTCCCAGCCTTCCCTCTGATTCTGCTGACGCTTCTCCACTTAGGAAACCCCCTGCCTGCATTAGCTTACAGCAAGGCCTTCTAAGATTGTATATCTGTTCCCTCCCTTGACGCGTCTCAATTTCCTGCAGCTCCCTCCATCCCTCCAGAGGGGCTGGGGGCTGGCTCCCTTCAAGGAGCTTGGAAGTAAAGCCACAGTCCACTCAGTTTGTAGCGTCCCCAGGTGGCCAGGCCTGTGATGGGAGGCAGGACAGTGCTGCACCTGTTTTTAGGTTTACCTTCGCTATTATTTCCCTTGTTAGCAAAGATGAATTGGTAGCTGGTAAATGCTTAGTTGAGTAAATGCTACATATTTCCTTTTCTTTCTGTGATTTCTCTCTTCCTTCTTTCTCTCTCTTTCTTTCTTTTTTCTTTCTTTCTCTCTTCTTTCTTTCTCTCTTTCTTAGGATTTCTTGGGCTAGAATTTAATTAGCAATGGATTCTGATGACAAATTTTTGCACGAGGGAACACAAGCAACTGATTAGCTCCAGAAACAAGCGTGTAGATCACCTGCCTGAGAACACCAAGAGGAAGGCAAAGGAGCTGTGTCTTGCTGAGGAAGAAGGAACCCTGAGACGCTGAGAAAAGAACCCTTTGGCTTCCTTATGCTGGGAAAGTCAGAAACCTCACAGGCGAGGCTTCACAGATTTCAAGCTGAAGTGATGTCCAAGGCCCTGGAGTGGCTCCAGGACCCTGGGTGAGGAGACCTGCTATCTGGTCTTTTTCTCTGGCTCCAGCAAGAAGGACACCTGGAGCATCAAGGAATGAGAGATAAATGCCAGCATTTTCCAGGGCCTTTGGATAGAAAAAGTTATGCTAATTATGGGAGAGATTTAAGCTAGTGTACTAATTACAGACAGTAATAGTAAGAACACTATCAACTCGCCCTGGGGCTCAAAACATTTTACACTTATTAACTCATTTAGAACTTTATAAAACTCAAAACCCTTGGAGATTGGTCACGAGTATTATTCCCACAGACGGGACGGGAGTTAGTCCTATGCCATCCAGCATAGGAGGGGGAAGGGGGAGGAGGGGGAGGAGGGGAGGAGGGAGAGGAGGAAAGCCCACTGAGCTGCAGGATAGGAAAAGGCAGGAGAACAGTTTTCCATTTTTATGGAGTCAAATCTGACTCATCGTACATTCATGCAATTATGAATGAATTGTCAGATCTCCCCTTCCTCTCCCCTTACTGTTCAACCACACCTGACCTTTCACCTTTCCTGAAGTTACAAACAAGGTTCTGCCCCTGGCAGGTATCAGAAAGGCTTGTCTCCCCCACACACCTGCTTCCAGCCACTCCCGCTGGGGCTCTGTGTTGGGCCTACAGCAGGCAAGGCTGGGCCTGGTCCTGCACAGTCAGCACCCAGGGATGGGAGAGGCCTGTGTCCACTGAGGGTTGGGCCAGAGGGCTGGAGGGCCTGGACTTTTCTAAGAGACCAATCCTGTCCAGTCAGCCCCTAGTATGGGCCCCACCCCTGCCCCAAACAGAGTGTGGGACCCCTCCCTTCCCTGGGTGCTTGAATCTGCCCAGTCTGAACCCAAATCCTGCCACAGCCTAGCCCTTTCCTAATGCCCTCGATCTGACCACAACCCCTGCCCAGCCTGAAGCCCTGGCAGCCGTCTCCTCCCCATCCCGGCATGGCTTTGTGCCTCCTCTGCTTACACACACGAGCGCTCCATTGTGCCTCTGGGTCACAGGCTGGTGACCTCCAGAGTGGCCGGCACAAGTGGGGTGCCGGGCCAGGCCTTGCAGATGAGGGGTGCAGGATAGTTGACTGCACAGGGGCCTGAGGCCGGGCAGGGTCTGATCTTGGACTCCGGGATGCCCCGGCAGCCTCCTGCTCCGGTCCCCAGCTCCTGCAGGTCCTGGCTGGGTACGAGCTTCTCTCCCCTCTGCCCTTCCGCAGCTGTCGTCTCAGGTCTAGGTAACCACCTGCCTGTGACCCGCTCCCCGCACCCGCCCCCCTCCAACGCTGCGTCCTGCCCTGTACAGGGCAGACTCCACACAGTCCCCCACAGAGCCCACCCCAACCCCATGTGGGACCTGCCCCCAACTGCTCCCTGCAGGATAGCCCCCACCCCAACCTGACCGGCCAGAGAAGGACGACACCACACCCACATGGCGGGCAGTGGGGGACCCAGGATGTCGCCCGCGAGACGCGCGCCCTAGGGGCAGGTAGGCGACCGGCCGAGCCCCGCCCTCGCCCCCCGCCCCTCCAGCACCGCCCCTGTCCCCGGCCCTAGGCCCCGCCCCACACCGCCCCTGCCCCCGGCCCTAGGCCCCGCCCCCGCCCCGCCCCGCCCCGCCCCTAGCGTCACGTGACCGTCGCCTGCTTTAAGTGGAGCGGGCGCCTCGGGCCGGGGTTCCGCTCTGGCCGCAGCAAATCCGCCCGCCGCCAGGATGATGTGCGGGGCGCCCTCCGCCACGCAGCCCGCCACGGCCGAGACCCAGGCCATCGCCGACCAGGTAGGAGGGAGCGGGTGGGGCTCCGGAAGGCGCTCCCGGCTGTGAGGCCTGCGGGTGCGAGCCTGCCCCTGGGGTCCCCGGGGCCCCGCCTCGGTTTCCCCTCTGCGGCCGCAGGCAGGTGGTAGGAGGGTGGGCCGAGCGGGCCGGTCGGGGCCAGAGCGGGCGGAAGCACCCGAACGGCTCCTTCGCGCGGCGCCCCTCCCCTGCCGCCAGCCCGCTGCCCCCCCGGCCGCCCCGGGCCTCGCTCGGGTGGCTCCACCGCCCGACCGCAGTGCAGGCTGGTGACTCAGCCCCACGAGACCCGTGAAATGAGGAATTCGCAGGGACTGCTGCGCGAGCCCCGCCTGGGCCGCGGCTCCCGGCCCTGCCCCCGCAGCCCCTCCTCGCCGGGAGCGGAGGGTCCTCTCCGGTCAGGGGAGTTGGAGCGGGTGTGAGGTCATTTGCTCCTGAATTTGGTGTGAAAGTGACCTGTGGCGGAGGTGTTGCTGCTGGCAGGCACCGAGGGGGCCAGCCGGTCTGCTGGAGGTGTCTAAGAGGACAGGAGCAGGGAGAATCCCCACCTCTGCACCTGGTGCTGCCTCCTTTCTGGAGCACTCTGGGGCACGCAAAGGGAGCGTCTGTGACTGACCCCGGGTCAGAAGACATTCTGCGCCGTCCCCCGCCCCGTGAGCAGCGCCACCAGCCCTGGGCGCTTGGGCCTTGGGCCTCTATGCCCCCTTGGCTGCAGCCCAGCCCGTCTTTCTCCTGGTCAGTCCTGGGACGATGAGCTCCCACTCTGTAGGGAGGGGCCGGGCCTGGCAGTCGCGTTACCTGTTCTGCCACCTGGCGCCTGGGTTTTCTTTCCATTCTTTGCCAGCGGCCTGGGGCTTTCGGCCCCTCCTGAAGCAGACAGAGAGGGGTGAATCCCTCCCCAAACCCTGGGCCGTTGTGGGGGTGGCACTCACCCCCCCGGACCACCCCCCCCCCCCCCCCCGCCCCCCGTTTCGTAAACTGTCAGCAGAGTCCACTCCCTGCAGACCTAGCTGGCGTTTTGCACAAAGAAGGGGGCTCCTGTGTCTGAGTATTTAGACACAGGTAAGCCCCACCCTGGAGAAAGGCACTTGGCGCAATGAACACCGTGAGTTGCACAGATAAGGATCAACTTCTGCCCAAAAGCTCTACATCTTTTTTTTTTTTTTAACGTTTATTTATTTTTGAGAGAAAGAGACAGAGCATGAGGGCGAGAGGGACCGAGAGCCAGGGAGTTACAGAATCCAAAGCAGGCTCCAGGCTCCAGGCTCCGAGCTGTCAGCACAGAGCCCGATGCGGGGCTCGAATTCACGGACCGCGAGATCATGACCTGAGCTGAAGTCGGGCGCTCAACCGACTGAGCCACCCAGGCGCCCCACGAAAGGCTCTACATCTTAAGACGCAGTAGGGGCACCTGGGTGACTTCCGACTTCGGCTCAGGTCATGATCTCGCTGTTGGAGAGCTTGAGCCCCGCATCGGACTCGCTGCTGTCAGCTCAGAGCCGGCTTTGGAGCCTCTGCCCCCTCCCCCCCACCCCTTCCCCACTCACGCGCTCTCTCTCTCTCTCTCTCTCTCTCTCTCTCTCTCAGAAATGAATAAACATTTAAAAATAAAATAAACATGCAGTCAACTGCATTTTACCTGCGAAGCCCTGTGCCTGCCGCCTCCGGTGTCTGGGGACACATTTGGAGGCTGTAATGCCCTCCGGAGAGGAGCCGCAAAGACACTCATGACCTCTCTAGACTAGAAGGGGAAATTTAAATCTATGACTGAACTTAGTTTAAAATTTCGAATTTTAAGAGGGAATAATTACATACGGCCTCTTCGTCAAACTGTTCGGCTGTGAACTGGAAAGGAAAACGGGGCGTCAACTCGTATATAGCGTCATGATGGAAATTTAAAAATCACCCATGCCTAGAACACGAAGGGCCAATGACTTGCTCCAGCACTCTCGCGGGAGCCGTTAGATTTAAGGAGCTTTCCGCACTCTGTCGGTAGAGCTGACCGTGTAATGCCCCTCTCCGCTCTCAAGAACGCTCTTGCTGGAGAAGATCTGGAACGGGCGGGCGCAGGAATCCCGTTTGTAACGTTCGTTCCGTAGGAGAACTAGGCTGTGTGAGGAGGGAAGCCACTAAGTTCTCCGTTCTGTCCCCTCCCCTAGGTGAAGCCCCAGCTGGAGGAGCAGGAGAATAAGAAGTACACTACCTTTAAGGCGGTGGAGTTCAGGAGCCAGGTGGTCGCAGGGAGGAACTACTTCATCAAGGTGAGGGTCAGCCGTGGGCGGGGGTGAGGGGGGGTGGGGGGGCAGGGCCCCGCCCCTCTCCGGGGCCCTCCTCATGCAGACTGGTCCGGCAGGGGCACTTGGGGTCAGAGGTCCTCCGGCCTGCCCCTCACTGGCCTCTCTCCTCTCTGTCCGTCTCCAGGTTCAAGTCGATGATGAGGAGTTTGTGCACATTCGAGTGTTTCAGAGTCTCCCGCACGAAAACAAACCCTTGGCCTTGTCCAGCTATCAGACCCACAAAGCCAGGCACGACGAACTGGCGTATTTCTAGTTCCCGCTGTGAACATGGCCCGTCCGTGTGGTTCTGTCCTCTGTGGACACGTCTGGGGTCATAAACGGGTGCCATTTCTTCACTGGGGGTGGGGGGGGTGTGTTGTGCAGCTCTTCTGAGAGCTGGGAGAGACAAAGTCATCCCAACCAGCGATCTTCATTACTTTCAAAGAAGGCTTATATTCTCTTTTAAATACATATTTTTAAGTCTTGGCAAATATATTCCTTCGTTTTGGGTTTTTTTGGCTTCGTCGGAAACCACAGTCCCGTATAGAAGCGTCAGGAAGCGTGAGAGTGGCGTGCTAATATGGTTGTTTGACGGCCACGTGACCGCTGTGCCACGTGGCGCCCCTCCTGGGTCACGTACTGGCCTGAGCTGGCCGGATACCTCTTCTACCTACAGAGCTGCCTCCCGGGGGAGTCGCTCAAGGTCCCCGCAAGTGGATGGTAGACCCAGGACTCCAGGAGCCTGTGCTCCAACCACAGCTCCCCACGCTCAGCTTTGACCGTGTCCTGTCTCCAGGCCTTAGTCTCCCCCGTAAAATAAAAGGCTTTGGGCAAATCTGATTCTAGAGCATTAGCTCTGGATGTACTTAGACGCACCAACACACCACCCTTACACCCCAGTAGAAACACACACGCGTGTGCAGAGGACGCCATAGGTGTACGTGTACGTGTAGAATAGTTGTGAGGCCTCGCTGAGCACCATCCACCTGGAAGGGTTCTTGAACTTAGCCTCTGAGCATCTGGGCAACGGCACATCTCCGGTTTTCGACACAGGGTCCCCGCCATGAGCGAAGGCAGTGCAGTGGTTTGCCCTGTGTCTGTTCTGCAAACAAAGAGCACGCGCATCGTTGCAAGAGTAGGGGCTGAGACGGCTGTGTGGTTCGGGTCATGGCAGTAAACCATCCCCGAGGGTTCGAGTTGGTCTCAAATCACCACACCACTCTGCATCGGCGGCGTGTGGTGCTTGGTGCTGGGTCGGCAGTGCAAGGCGCGGGCTGTCCGGATCGCGAGGGAAGGAAGAGCACACCAGGGTCGCAGGGTGAGCAAGCAGCTTGAAAGCGGCAAGAAGAGGGGCGCCCGGGGGGCTCGGTCGTGACCTCACGGTTCGTGGGTTCGAGCCCCGCGTCGGGCCCTGCGCTGACCGCTCGGAGCCTGGAGCCTGCTGCCGATTCTGGGTCTCCCTCTCTCTCTGCCCCTCCCTCTGCTCTCAAAAATAAATAAACATTGGGGCGCCTGGGTGGCGCAGGCGGTTAAGCGTCCGACTTCAGCTCAGGTCCCGATCTCGCAGGATCTCGCGATCTCGTGGTCCGTGAGTTCGAGCCCCGCGTCGGGCTCTGGGCTGATGACTCAGAGCCTGGAGCCTGTTTCTGATTCTGTGTCTCCCTCTCTCTCTGACTCTCCCCCGTTCATGCTCTGTCTCTCTCTGTCCCAAAAATAAATAAACGTTGGAAAAAAAAATTAAAAAAAAAAAAAATAAATAAATAAACATTAAAAAGAAGTGTAAGTGGCAAGAACACCTTAATGCCAGCTGTGTGTGTCCCAATCTCCGTTCCTGAACTAGAAGAATGAAGAGCTTTCCCAACAGGCTCTTGTTCTTGGTAGTGAAGCAATTTGGGGTTGAAATGAAGACCTAACCGAGAGAGAGGAGAGAGAACCCCAAGCAGGCTCCACAGTGTCAGCACAGAGCCTGACGCGGAGCTCAATCCCATGAACGTTGGGATCACGACCCGATCCAAAAATCGAGAGTCTTGAGGCTTAACCAGCTGAGCCACCCAGGTGCCCCTCCCCCCACTTCTAAGAGTTATTGATACATTAGCAATGTCGTGCCTCAGTAAGTCACAAATATTTTCCCCAAGTTGTAATTTGTTTTGAGTCCTAGATTAAAAGCCCTTCTCCAGACCCAGACTGTAGAGAAACTCACCCGTTCCTCTAGAATTTTAATTTTTTAAATGTTTTCTTATGGATTTGGAGAGAAATAGCAAGTGGGGAGGGGCAGAGAGAGAGAGAACCCCAAGCAGGCCCCAGTGCGGGGCTCGAACTCCACGAACCATGAGATCATGATCTGGGCTGAAGTCAAGAGTCGGATGCCGTCTGAGCCACCCAGGCGCCCCTAGAATTCTAGTTTTTTTTCCAGCCCTTGTATGCTGGAGCCACGGCCCTGCTTTTGCAAGGACAGAAAATGTGCATTAATGCCATTTCCGGGCAGCTCCGTTAGGGCCTCCGAGGCACCCCGCCTGGTAATGACGGATTAGTGACACCAACGATTGTGTCCAGTGCACAAGTGACATCAGTTATCTGTTCCTCTATCTCTAGGCTAACGTGCGTCTGCTCCCTCGTGAGCCGGCTGGCTGGATCTGTGCCGGCACCGGGTTCTGGGAGCACTCCGAGACCGGGTGCTGCGGGGTGTGCTCCGAGCTGGGGAGGCTCTGCCAGGGCAGAAGCAGGGCATGCACGGTGCACTGACCTGTTCAGCCCGAGCGGGGGCGCGGGGTCAGGCCTTGGGAAGAGTGACATTCGCCGAGAAAATCCCGGGTGGAGGAGAGGAGCCTCAGCTGAGGGCAGTGGGGGGGGGGGGGAAGGTGCCCCCCTGCTGGCCCGGGGAGAGGGTGCTTGGTCCCACCCGGGGAGCATGAGGACTGGGGTCTGACTCCCAGCGGTGGGACCGGTCCCTGTAGCAGCCTTCTCGGTCCTGGAGAAACACAACACTCGGGGGTGAGTGGAAGAGGAGTGCTTAGTAAGGGCCCCCCTGCCCCGCTCCTGTATGCGCACTCGCTCGCTCTCTCGCTCTCAAAAAAAAAGCGGGGCAAAGGATGAAAAATTCTATAGTGAAATGGGCAAAGACCTGAACAGCCACGACAATCTGTAACACGTCCACACAATGAGAAGAGCAGAGTGAAACCACGTTGGGTGCCGGTCTCTGTCCTGCCCCACAGGCAAACGTCCCGATGCGGGCCGGGAATGCAAACAGGTACAAGCCCTTCACAGACACCCGGGTGACCTCTCGGGACTACACGGCACGCGCCCTTCTCGCTGGCGCTCCCCCGCACGTTGGTCTGTGAGCCCAGATTACTGGTGCGGATATTTCGGTCATTCACTTCCCCGACCTGGCCACGGGCACGGAGTCCCCAGTGGCTGGCACCGGGCAGGCAGTTGACAAAGTGACCAGATAACGCAGGAGGCTGTACTTCTTCTCTAACTCGGGGCTTTCTCGGCTCACCTCTGCAGGGCCTGGGACTGGGCCCCCCTCGCCTGTCCGTCCCGACCTGCCCTGGCCTCTGCCGTAACGGCTCTGCTCCAGCGTCTGACCCAGTGGGGCCCACACCTGCCCGAGGCCAGGCAGCACACCTCAAAAACCCAGGGGTGCCCGCCCCTGTGGGGTGAACTTCGACCAATTGGAGAAGACGGGAGAGATGCCCCCGCTTGACCACCTGGCCAGCTAGGTCACACGCTGCCATGCATCTTCTCCCTGCCTTGTCCCTTTTCCTGTTCTTACCGGCCCCTTGAGAGGGCACCCCCCCCCCCCCCCCCCCCGTACCACTTAGTGCAAGGGTGGGGCCCGGGCTCCCTTCCAGGAACTCGGCCTGAGGGAGCCCCGGCCGGTGTGGTCTCCAGGGTGGGGCCTGCACCTGAGGCCAGGCTTCCCGCCCTCCCCAGGGGACGTCTGCGGCAGGAATCCTCCTGATGGTTGAGGTTCAAGGCCGTGTGTGTCCTCCGCTGGACATCTCATGCGGAGTGTCAGAGAGGGAAAGGTGACCGTGTCGGGACTCACTGGGCTTCACCCCCATCCCCATCACAGGAGGCTGTGGGTTGAATAATGCCCCCAGGGATATCCCTGGCCCAGTGCCCGGAGCCTGTGGATGTTATCTCACAGGGCAAGGGGACTTGTCAGATGTGATGAAGCTAAGGGTCTTGAGCTGGAGAGGTGATTCCGGACTCTCTGGGGCCCCAATGTCATCCCAGGGTCCTCAGAAGAAGAGGCAGGGGTCGGGGTCAGACTGAAGCCACACCACGGCTGTGAAGTCATGAGGGCCCCTCTAAAGTCTGGAAGAGGCTGGGCACATTCTCCCTGGAACCTTCCAGAGGACCCAGCCCCGCCCACCTATTTTTGTACAAGTCTGATCTCCAGAGTCGCTTTAAGTCGCTGCATTTGTGGAAGCGTGCCACAGCGGCCACAAAGGGTCGTCCACCAGGAGGGCCTTGCGGGCCAGCTAAGGGGCACAGGAGTCAGCAGGGGGGTGGAGAGGCGGAGTTCAAGGTGTTCCAGACATGAAGCAGATCCCTCGTTCTCCCCCACCCTTCTCCTGCTTTTCCTTCCAGGGCAAGGGGCCTGGCATTCTGGAGACTGCCTGGGGAGCTACTCACAAAGGTGTGGGTGAATCACAGCACGGGAGCACAGTACCTGCCCGGCCTGTAGGACCGGCTGTCACCACCCAGGTGTGAAGGGATTGAAACCCAGGAGCAGTGACATTCATCAGGGATGAGGCCGGTCCTTGGACTCTAGCGGGGCTGGGGGCGGGGCCTGAGAAAGGGAACCCACCCTCCTGGGAGTCCTGCCCGCAGGAGGAGCTTAGAGGCCAGCCCCCAGGGCACAGAACAGAGTGGGTGGGACAAGGGGACCTGGGCCACCGAGGGTGGGTTGGGCAATCTCTTTCCCTTAAGACATACCTGTTTACGGCCTCAGCTCCCATGCTTTTCAGCAGTCAGCACTGCTGGGCTGGCTGGCTGGTGGCAGGGGCTTCGGGTACCAGGGGATAATTAACGGGGGGTTCCTGAGGCGGGAGGAATCATTGCACTTCAACACCATGGCCAGAAAAAGATTTATTTACGGATAATCATAAGTCAGTAGGACCAGCACACAGACACGGCCTCTACAGCGCCGACAGGGACTTTACAAACACGTGCACAGGACGGAGGGCTGGAGACCCCAGCACTGGAGAAACCACCCCCTGGCCCTCCCCCGCAGCCGGGCCCCAGGGGCAACGTGCTCCGACCCGAGGGGGTCACACAGCCTCCACAGTCCGAGGTAATTTCCAGGAAGGCCCAGGCCAGCACCCGCTGGGCTCTGAGTCAGCACCTCAACCCTCCTGTCCGCCCAGTCGTGCAGTCATTGGCTGGAATCCCAACTAAAATTCGACATCAGAAAGTACGCAGCTATGAAGCCAAAAGCACTCAAAACATCCACACACTCTTCATCTTGGAGCCTACACGTTGTA